CATCTAATAAGCTAAAAACCTTTGCTCCTGAAAGTTCAGCTAGGATTTCTTCAATTGTGGGTAGTTGATAATATTCCCTTTTTTTGTTTGGTGAAACTANTCAATACTCATATCATAAATAGCTATATTATATACTTATGAAATATAATTTAGTAGAAAAATACATAAAATTAATTACAACTAATCTGAATAACAATTTGGTATACTGAAGATTATTGGAGCTTCTTTACTTTTACTATTTTACTAATGTGGTATTATACCTCTGCGACACATATTTCTACCAAGCATTTCGGTTCTTTACTATGTGTGATTGATGACTTGTTTATTTTGTGGAAATTCATGATCACTTAAATATGAAGTGAATAAAAACACTTTGGTCTAATTTCCACAGGTTATTTTATTTTTACGACCGGTTTCAGGTTTTACCCCATTATCAAGTATATAACTGATAATAATAATACTCTACTCTCGAATCTCAAGATCATGTCGGCTTGCCATACTAAGGCTGAAATCTTAGCCGGACTGCAAAATGCTGTCATTCTTGACTCACTGCACTTGCTCAGGGCACATGATTCTCGGACCCAATGATCACTTACCCCACGGTGTGGGGAGTGGTCATTGGTTGATAATGCTGGCGCGCCCCTCCTGAATGTATCGGAGCTTCGGGGGATAGGGCCTGACCAGCGCAACTTTGGGTAAATAATAATAATAACAATATGTAGGAGACCATCCCTGCTTACTCGAGTGTACTAGTTTATGATTTATATATCCCTATTTCACAATATGATAAACATGTCTGGTAAATCTCAAAATCATCGAGATGAGGGACTAAATTTTTCTTGACGTCTCTATTTGGTAATTGAACCTCATCGATTGAATTATTAATCAATTTGTATTGCTGCAACGATTCTTTGCAGTTGGCCTACTGAAGAGCATTTAGATGCGTTTACAGAAAGACAGTAGGTACTTATTTGATTCAGTTATTAGAGAGTGCAAATCATGACTCGTTTGATCGAGCTCATCTGGTTGAGTGAATTTTCATCGAATTCTAATTACAACTGTGTATCGTCAGTGTAACAATGCATGGAAGTATGAAGAAGGCAGTGTGAGAACTGAGAAGTATATAAAACAAAGAGAAGTGGACCTAAAATCGATCTTTGAGGGACCCCATTTTTCAATTTGAGGTTATTTAATTTTGTATCATTGAGAACGGTTTAACAGGTAATTTTTAAGCAGTGCCACCACGCTAGTGATGAAATCCAGAAGTAGGCAGTTTGGGTCAAATCATGCAACTTGAATTTTGAAGCCTTTATCCTCAACCGATTGAGCTAAAATTTTGCATACACGTTCAATCTGGATGATAATGCACGATTGGCTTGGTGACGCCATTCTACATCCAATACGGCGGACTGAACAAGATGGCGGATTAGTTTTCACGTACCCCCATGATATGGATATCAAAGGAAAGAGTTTAATGGAAATATTACGGAAAATAACATGACGCTACTGAAAATGTTTTAGCTACATTTTCTTATTATTAAAATTTTGCCGTACTGAGATATTTCCCAGTTTTTGAGATATAAAAAAAAATGAAAAAGCGATTTTCCTCAAACGCATAATGAGTTCCTTAGTTTTCAATATTTTTGATTCTAGGCAATATTAACAGAATTTGTTACACTCTTTAATTTGAAAGGATTATATTTTTAATTTTTGGAAAAGAAAGTATTTGGCTTTCTACTACTCCATCTGGATCACTTTTGGTAAAAATCTATTTTTTGTCGATGCTGGACAATGATCGAAATATTTTGTTATGGAAGATTTCTGCAATAGACTTTGGTAGAAATATACGTATGCAGCGTATCTTTTGAGTCCGACCAAAGACTTTTCTGATTCTGATTTTTGTGATCGAAATGTTTGCGTCGATATGTGACAATGGATGAAACATGGATCCATCACTTCACTCCGAAATCAAAGTGCGTGGTGTAATATTAGTCGACTAACTTGAGAAGGGAAATACCATCTGTAGCGTCTACACTGATAGCGAGTTTTGTTGTATAACGATGAATAAGCAAATAAATAAAAATCGACCGGCGGATAGTTGATAGCCGACAACCGAACGGTGTAGTACTGAGAAAGTGTGTTTTATTTCACCACCCTAAATTATGAATAGACAAACAAGAAGACTGAACAGTGACTTTACACCATCAACAGTGAATATTATATAGCGTTATTGGAGCGTTTGAAGGCCGAAATTGCGGAAAAAGAAAATGCTGCTTCATTAAGACAATGTAAAATGTCACAAATCAATAAAAACGATGGCAAAATTGCATGAGATGTGCATCGAATTGCTCCCACATATGACATATTCTCCAGATTTGGCTCTCAGCGACTACTGGCTGTTCGCAGACCTCAAAAAAATGCTCGCCGGTAAGAAATTTTGCTCGAATATTGCTGAAACTGAGGCCTATTTTGAGGCAAAAGATAAATCGTTTCACAAAAGTGGTATAGAAATGTTGGAGCGGTTCTGAAATGATTGTGTGGCTCTTGATGGAGATAACAATTCACGATCGGAAGACCGTGGGTTCGATTCCTGCATCGACCAGATATTTTTCTCGAGAGAATTTATCTGGTTGAAGCTGGGATGATTCTGCAACCGTGTTAGGAATCACACGTAAAAAGGTAAGACCTCGATGTCGTTCGTATGGGGGCGACAGCTGGTTAACGGAAAAACAGATTTTAAACAGATTTTACACAGACTTTGAACATTCGTTATGGAATCCAATCAGATATCATTCACAGGATTGCTACTCAATATAGTATTTAGTGTTTTTTGTAGAATGTATATGAAATAGTTGTTTCTAAAGTATTTTTTCTTTCATGTAATTCTAGTTTGTATCTGAAGGATACTTTTTTGCATGAACTACAAATATTTGTATAGAGTTCACTTTGAAATTAATTACTTCTTTCAGCTGAGCAGCTGAGAAACGTGGTGATGAATGGGCTCTTAAAATAAAAGAGCGTATATCTGAGAACACAGATTTGGTAGCCCTTGATGCCAGATATCATCGGTTTTGCTAAACAAAGCTCTACTAGGCACCACCAACATGAAAGTTCAGGGGAACCTCAACTACGAACAGTCAAAACTCGCTTGTTTGTAAAGTATGGGGAGGACATTTTGATTGCTGAGAGACCCTTCAAACACACGACTGTTTGTTTTAAAAACACAGGTCACAAAATTCTCATCAGTACATGGTATGACAGTAGAAGCTCAGATCATCAAGCAGAAAGACTACACGTGGTGAAAGCAGCTGCTGAAGTCATACGAGAGGATATACGGTCGCAAGTGATTTATATTTCATTCCTACAAATAAACTTATTAACTTTTGTTTTACTTATCTTTTTTACTTCATTATTCGTAACTTAATAAATAATAGACGAAATTACAGTTGAAATTGTTTTATTTCAAAACTGACTTTTATTTTTAAAACATGTCTTCCATTACATAAATGGAAATTTATCAATTCTTCTACAATTCTCTCCTTCCTCCTCTTATTTCAATGTCTTCCTAGTTCATTCTTCACCCTTAAACATCATCGTTCACACTTCTCAGTTTCTTTTTAAACATCGCACCATAATAAGCTTCGATGGTATACTCAGGGTCAAAATTGAATTAATCAAAAAGACAGAATTACAAAAAATTGCAGAGTTCGAAAAAAAAAGGTAAACTTTGAAAGGCTTAATTTCGGAAACTATTGGGTCTACAGCAGAGACAATTCTAGTATCATATTGTAGCAAATTTAGTCTACTTTAAAAACTTACAAAGCAAGTTTTTTTCAAAAACTAGTCCTTTAGGATTTTAATCGCCAAAATTTGAAAAAACCCGATTTTTTCGCGGTTTTTTAGATTTTTGACAAAGTTGCGCTTTGACAAAGTTGGGACAAAAAGGCAGAATTACAAAAAATTGCAAAGTTCGAAAAAAAAGGTAAACTTTGAAAGGCTTAATTTCGGAAACTATTGGGTCTACAGAGACAGTTCTAGTATCATATTGTAGCAAATTTAGTCTACTTTTGAAAAAACCCGATTTTTTCGCTGTTTTTTTTCGATTTTTGACAAAGTTGCGTTTTGACAAAGTTGCGTTCGAGGTCACAAACTTGGATTATTCATTAGGCCAACATCATAAACAAGTCTGCAAAAAATCAGAACTACCGGATTTGACGCATGCCAGAAAGCCAGAACACTGGGTGAATCTACTTTTAATTTGGATGAAACATGGATCAATGAGGGTCATACCATACCGTCACGAAGGTTTGGCAAGATCAGAGCATCAAAAGTGGAAGACAAGCCTTTATGGAAGGTTGTTGACAATGTTTCGTGGTGTGTTTCATCAGTTCGGACTTCCATTGTCTAATATAATATAAATTGATTTGAAATCCCTGAAAAAAATAAAATATTAACCAAAAATAACAATTTTATTAAAACAAAAAATTGAAATTACAAGGAAATAACATACAAGCTACAATCAGAAAATAAAAAATTGAAATATTGATAAAACAAGAAATCGTTCAACTAGCTTTCACATATTTTTGACATGGTTTTTATTTGGGATTGTTACCCTCCACACAGCGCCCGATCAAGGGGGGCAAACCAGGCAATTCAATTCAATTAATTTAATACCTTCTTCCAATGGAACATCCACGAGCACCTCACCAACTTTCAACATTATTTCGTTAATAACATCAATTCAACCGTCTTAGGAACACGGGTAATACATTATTTCATAACCTGCTGTAATGAAAACAAGGAAATGGCAAATGACAGTCCTTCCTATGAATGATTACCATTAACATCGGTTATCTTGAGAAAACTCACATTTCGTTTATTTCTTGAATTCTTCAAGTTTATTTCACAAGACTGATAAATTCATATCATAAGAGTTCTGTAACTGATTCAAACGTCTTCTTCTTCTTCTGTAAGCTTCAACTTGTCAAAGATGTCAACTGTCAATTTTGACATCCGTCAACGGTTTTATTATTTTAAAAATTAATATAGCAATAACTCAATATAAAATTAGTTTCTGTTTAAACTAGTTAAATACAATAAATATGGATGATGATAGCCAGCTACAGAAGTCAACTGAAAATGTTGAAAAATTAGAGTTATCAAATGTATTTAACACTATGAAAGAATTAGATAGTAAGTTGATTGATCAATTTTCAGGAAAGTCACTGGGAGGGTTGAAGAAAATCATGACTATTTGTTCATGACCTGAAAAAAATAGTCATATTTTGGAAATATAATTAGTATCAAGTTCAAAACGCTATATATAGAAATCCTCATTAAACTGTTTTGGGACAGCTTCCAATTTTATAATGGTAACAAGCAGCCAACAGGAGTTTTAATATTGCATTTATTTTTTCCTTTTCAGATATAATAACGAATACTTTAAGAACAGTTAACACAGTTAGTTCAAATCTACTTGAAGAGATAGAATTTGTAGTTCATGAACACAAATCTGATAATAGTTTACCTATTGAAAGACAGTCGGCCAAGGTTTTGATCAATATAAAAGAAGAATCTGTTCAATTAATGAACCACTTTGCAGAACTGGCCAATCCACAATTAGATGAGGTTTGTTTTGCTATCATATTTATAATTATAATGCATTTTTCAAAATGTTTAGGTTATTTATTCTATCACTTGTTGACAGGCTTTGAATTTTAGTCCAGTGTACAAATATGTTGAAGATGTGGAGAGATTTAGTGAAGAATGTAATGAATTCAACAGGTATCTGAAAATGATTTCACAGGGAATAAAGAAAATGGTTTCGAATAATAAAAACCAAAACATTGGTGAGCTGAACACTTTTATTTTCAGAGTCAATCTTTAAATTTTTCATTTATTTGAATGCTTATTTCAAAAAACAAGTCATCATAATTTTTTTGTTTTCTGTAAAATAGCTTTTCAAATCTTGGTGGAATGTTATTGCAATGATAGCATTTTTTTTCAGATAACAGTCAGCAGGGTTCTCTGAACAGCACATTTCTATCTGCTGACTTCAGTCTTGGTAACCCAGTAGCTAGTTCTCCATTTGTATCTCCCAGAGCCAAGCACAATAGTCAGTAGTTTAGTTTTAATGTTTTGTATTTACCATATCAAATATATATTTTGTCATATATCAAATCTGTTCTTTTTATTCAAGTTTCCCATCAGTGATTTTGAGGTATTTACAAAAGTAGAAAGGAAGTCACAAAATTTATTCAAAAGGTTCAATACAATAATACAGAAAACAGATAAATATTATAATTTCAGATCACAAGATTCAAAAAGAATAATTCAGAGGTGATTGTCATTGTCAAAATATTGATTGTATGTCAAAACTGTCCCATTAAAAATCTACTTTCTGACAATGTTGCCATAGTTTTTGAATTTCTTGATAGATCTTGTAAAACTGCAAATAAAAGTAACTACAGCGAACTTGTATCTACATTTCAATTAGGGACTTTTTGAATTCAAAAGGGAATATTGTTTAGGAAAACTTCTTTAATTACTATTAACTTTCCTACACATAAAAAATATTTCGCCGGTTTGACCATTTTCCTGATAGAATCTTTGATAGTATGGAGGGCGTGCTAGTATCAACAACCAAAATGATGTGCACACCGTGAAATGTGGTGTGGGTAGAAACCTGAACAGAAATATAAAGCATTACTGATCTAACTCAGACAGTACTGTTTGGACCCACCATTAGCTGATCCACGGATGGATTGTTGGACTCAATAACTGTCCTTTAAGACAAACCTGAGTAGGAAAAGGATATGTCATCATCCCTCACGACGACGCCATCTATGAGATTGACAGAACTCTCAATCCATGAACATCAAACATAAAAAGGAAGCTACTAAAGGAGAAACATTTTATGGAACTAGCCGATACTTGATGAAAATCCATGCCAAAACTTACTTATATGATGAATTTCACTCTGATAGGTTTACAAAACAGCAACACGTAATTTCACTATAAAGTAGCTTCCTCAAGCAAGACTATAAATTACTTCTGAATTATAACAATTTCATACTTCAAAAACTTTAGGTATTCTGTTATTTGTAGAGTGGGGAGGGTAAGTGTAGACTCACAGCACTCAGCCCACTTGTGACCCATTTTCCATCCTCCCGAGGAGTTGTCCTAGGTCATCATCCATCCTGTCCTTTCCAGGAAGGTGAACATGTCACCAGGAGACATCTCCTTAATATTGGCAGGTATAGGCCAAGACTTGCCGAACACACACTCTCTTTGGCAACCTTGAGGTGTCTCGCGTAGGTCTCCGCGAAGGTTTTGGAAGGTGCAGCGATATTACTGTCATTGCGCGGCTTCTTAAACCTTCTTGGGCTTCCTCCGTGGAGGTGCACAAGTGAGGCAGCTTTCCCGCAGAGACAGCCGGTTCCTTGCCTTTATTCAAGGCGGAGCTCTTGGCACCCGCTGCAGGAAGTGCTCTTGATGTTGGAGGTGATTTGTTAGCAGATCACCTCCAACTTTATTACTTTACTCTATTACTGATTGAAGTGTATTACTTACACTTCAATCAGATCTTTACCTGTAGACTAAATTTTACGACCTGAAAAAGGCGGATACAATATACCTAATTCACCCGTAAAAGCAGATTTAAATCGATAAAAAAAGATTAATAAATTAATGATTGTTACAAAGTAATTATTTTAAGGGGACTAAATGGTTATCTAGTGACAAATAAATTTGATCGTAAATAAGATATTGGCCACTTTCGAAGTTATCAATTTTCATATTTTAAACAATTCTTCTGGAAATGAAGAGTTTTGAATTCATGAATCAATAATTCATGTTCCTCTGTAACGAGGTGACTAGCAAACGTTGAATTTATTTTTCCACCCTGGAAACTGTTTCTTTTTGTTCTTTTTTGCGTGCTTTGAATAATCTTCCAGTTTGACCTATGTGAAAAACAGACATGAACCACACGACAATTTATAAACTCCTGATATATCTGACACCAAACTCTCATCTTTATTATTTATAATATGCTTGCTCAAATTATTATTGATTTCATACCCCACACTTACACTTCTATTTTTTAAGAAATTAGAATAATTATTACGTAACAATCATTAACTTCTTGATCTACCTATTCATACATGTAACATAATGGGTAACATTGATTTCTGATTGCAGCATACGTAATAGCTAATGATTTTAGCGAAACACGTATATCGGTTTCGTAAATCCATCACAGTGAATCTCACAATAATCTTTATTAGGAAATTTCATTGAAGGTGTTCTGTTGAAACGACCTCGCCCAACGAAATTCGTCCTTTGTCTTTCTTGGAAGCTTTACTGAAAGGCTACAGCAAAAACAGTTTAATGAACTTTATTTCGAAAAATACCAAATGAATATCCTCAACTGGAAAAATATGATTCCAAAGGACTAGAAATAAAAATACCATCAGTTAATATAATACGAGTATACCTGTACATTTCATTATTGTATTGTATTAAATAATTACCAAAATGAAATTTTACAGGTGTACACCATAAGGTAGAATTGGAACTAGTATAACATGCAATTAATCTTACACAAGCAGCACTCCCACTACAACACTTTCTCAACGCACGTTACCTCAAATTGGTATCATCAGGCGATAAGTTGGCATCATCAGGTGATGGTTCTATATACTATAATATCGTTTATCTCCTGATGATGCTCGTCCTAGAGAATATTGCAGTTACAGTGTGTGTAAGTAATTTGTGTTAAGTAGCTGAAAAATTGTAAAAAATGGTTTTTCGTTAATCAGCTGTTGTCCCCTTATGAACGACAACCCTCAGCGTTGAAATTTGTGCGAGTTAAGGATTAACGAGGTCCTACCATTTAACGTGTGATACCCCAAGTATATAGCATCATCACCCCTACTGATCTATCGATAAGTCCATTGTACTTATGTGATCTAGACATTAACAACAGGTTACAGTATCCTTACACAAGCCATGTGAAAATCATTAAGAAAAGTCTTTGAATCCACGTAAATGCACATATCGCTTTTCGGTTAGGCATCATTGGAACACTACTGTCAGCTGTCATATTACAAAAAACGTATGTAGGCAAATGGCGGTTTTGTGGATGTGTTATTCAATTTTGTGATTCAATTCATGTAATCTAATAAATTTAATTTATTTTGACTTTATCGATTTAGTATATTAACTATAACGATATATAGGTATTGAAGAACCAATGCAATATCCTAAAGTAATCATCTGTAGGCACGCAGGTGTTCATTGTGGTATTTGTTTTTTTAAATTGAATTATAATCAACTATAGCTTGAAATAAATTAGAGGATCTGCTCAACGCTTAGCAACAATGTCTAAGAGACAAGCAGAGGAAGGCTCCAGTGGCCAGCCTCCCATCAAGAAAATTCATTTCGAACCACATTTAATTGGACCAGTTTCCACTTTGGAAGAAATGGATATCAAAGTTTTACAGTTTCAGAATAAAAAACTAGCACAAGTATGTATATTATTCTAGAATATTTTATATAATTCTTGTCAATAAAGCATATCATTTCTTTCTATCACCTATCGATATTCAGCCAATTTCTGTGTGAAACACAGTAGTGTAGTGTACCCATTTTTTTAATGATTTCAACAGAATAAAGAACATACTTTTCTCACACGATCTGTGGAATGCAAGTGTTTCCAGAATGCATATAATGCTTTTAGAGTCGTATTCCCACTGTAAAGTTTATTATATTTTACTTACCACAGGAGATATAAGTTTTGTTGGCGATACCATGATATTCTATGAAAACAGAACTCCCTGAAAGACAAGCAAGAAAATAATTTCAAACACATACATTTCTCTGGTTATTCCTCAAACTTTCCACATTATAACATTTTGAACTTCAACCTTTCAGGTAAATGGTAAATGCTTTGAAGTAATGAGATTAAAAATATAAAATTTTTGCAAATATTCATATCATGTCTATCATGGGCCTTCATTATGTGAATTTGCAAAACATATCGCTTACAAATGAAAAGCTTATATAGCAACTAGTGGTATACCACAGGGGTCTAATTTGAATCCATTATTGTTTTTACTGTTCCTACTTTAGTTATTGAATTTAAGAGACTTATGTTTGCTGATGACTTGAAATTATTCACCTCATCAGTAATTTAATTGATTGCATGAATCTGCAGATTTTCATGAATTGTCTATCAAAAATAGGCTCCAAGTAAACTTATCCAAATGGAATGACGTTGTCTAGAGAGTAATAGTTTTCAAAACAGATACTAAATCATCAATGTGAAACTGCAACATACCGAGGTAATGGAAGACCTGCACAATAATTGTGCAGTAAAAGCAGAAATTTTACTAATTTGTCTGTTCTGAGGTATTATTGTTTTGACCAATCTAAATTCGAGTATAAATCTCTGATATCAAAAAATCATTTTCATTCAATATATTGGTACCATTGAGAAGGCATAGGGGAAGTTCCTAAAATTTATCAGCTTCTGATTTTATGGAATAAACTCACCCAAAAATTTTTTTATTTAGAGAAATGCAGAGTACAAACTCTCAAGAACAGAATCAACAAACATATCGACAAAACTACTGGTTTATTTGTTTACTAGCACAAATTAACATCAAGCTCAAAGTTTAAATTTCCCTGATGTTCATGAACTATAATAAAATTAGTGATTATTTATTTTCTTTCATACTTCAGTTGAGTTGAAAAATACGTGTATTTCATCAGTTGGACTTCCACTGTCTAATATAATATAAATTGTCAACCACCTTCAAACAAACATTGAAAAATAGGTCTCAAGTCAAAATTTATGTTGATACCGAGTTTATTCATTTATTTCTTGTTTGAAATTGCTCTGTAAATTGTTGGGTAATGAATGCTTCATTCATTTTTATTTATAAATGCCTATTGAACCATATTATTTATTCAAATTATTTGCTGTAGAAATTTGAACAGAGATGTAGAACAGAGCAGGAACTACGACAAAGGATAGAACAGTTGGAGAAACGTCAAACTCAAGACGATGCAATGCTCAATGTTGTTAATCGTTATTGGAATCAACTCAATGAGGATATTCGAGTTCTCTTGCAGCGTTTCGATGCAGAAACTGCAGACGAGTCTGAAACCAAAAGTATAGTTAAGTTCCATTGCTATATCATGAAAATTTATGTTTTTTCTTGTAGATGAAAGTGAAGCTACTACTTCTTTTTTGATGCAACTGTCTACATGGGATAAAGATGAACTAAATGACAAACTGGCTAATCGAGTTCAAGTATCTAGAAGGGCCGTTGCGAAAGTTATACAAGCGTTTGACAGACTGATGCAGAGAAATGAGAAAATAACATTAGCTCTTAAAGGAGAGCTTGAAGGACGTATGCATTTTAATTAATTACTGATATTTTGTTGTAACATATTTTGTTATTTCTTCCTTATGTATGTAGAAAATGCGAGATTCGGTTACTTGATCTTCTGAAAACTTTTCAGTTAACGTAGAACAACACAATCTTTTCCAACTCCTAGAGTATCTGGCATCACAGGTTTTGTTTTGTTGTCTTTCATAAAATATATTGTATATATTAATCAACTTGGTTCATTTCTTGTACACTTACCTATTCATAAATTATAATAGAGTTGGAAATTGAATTTTCTTGGTTTTGAGAGAAATGTACTATTTTGATAAATCAATAAATTATTTCATTCAATTGAATGTTCAATTTTAAATTAAAATTTCAGTATATAACAACTTTTCAATATATAGTTTCAAGGCCACATTATTTTTTTTTTTTTTAGTTCTTTAGTGCTGATGTAGGAAAAGTACTATGTTTTTCTTGACAGCTTTGAACTCTTCAAATAGAAGATTAAAAATATATCTACGTTTCTGTAGTGTTTCAATTAAATTATGACAGTAATAGTTTCAATTCAATCTATAAATTTGAAAAGTAGAATCTTCAACCTCTGGCGTTAAACGAATCTGTTGAAAAATATTTTCCCTCCCGAGAACAAAAATGCTGTCTCTCGAGGCGTGTTTAGCTTTAGTAAAAGCTTTAATCATCTCTTGTCATTATTGTCTTTTGGTATGCAGTTTGTTATGTTTATAGTTTGCATTAGTTGCAAGTATTAACAGACCTTGTACAATTCATGATCTTAGGTTTATTGATAAGATATTTTTTGTTGAACATATTAATTGTCCTTATTATTTTATTTTGAAAAATGTATTCTGATGCTGTATTATAAAACACTTTTATAAATGTAATCTCTGTTTATGTATCTAGAGGAAGCACCTTCTATTGATGAAGCCATTAGAGACACCAACATACAACTACAGGCTGAAAATAGAAATCTCCAAGCTCTCCACACTTCCCTTCATGAAAAGTATCATACAAATAGCTTGAAAGTTTCTGAACTGCAAGATTCCCTAACTGCAAAGGAAACTGAAAATGCAGAACTTAAAAATCAAATTGATGACCTGCAATATGAACTTGAGAAAGTTCGCAATAGAAATGATAAGCTTGAGACACATCTTGCTGAAGCTGTGGAGAAGTTGAGAGCATATCACCAACTGCATGGAGACCCCGACAATAAAGGCAAAGAACAGAAACCACAAGCACCACAAACTAGCGTATCACAAGCTAAACTTGAGGATCTTGTGAAAGAAGTGGAGGAGTGGAAAGAGTTAGCCAATAATAGGCTTCAAGAGTTGGATAAGTTGCATCAAACCCATAGGGAAACTTTGAAAGAGGTTGAGAAGCTAAAAATGGATGTGAGTGCCATTTTATAATATGTTATGTGAGTTTTAATGATTATTTCTACAGATCAGGCAGTTGCCAGAGAGTGTTATCGTTGAGACTACGGAGTACAAATGTCTTCAGTCCCAATTTTCAGTACTGTACAATGAATCGATGCAGTTAAAGACACAATTGGATGAAGCCCGACAACAGTCACAGTCAAGCAAAAATGCCCATTTGAGAAACATTGAAATGATGGAGGTTGGTTATTTATTTCACCTAGATAGGTTTCCCTAGGAATAAAATTACCAAATAATGAATGAAATAGTTTGTAATGTGCTCTATTTCCATTTAAGTTCAAATGTGGGGTCAATCCACATGGTTTTATAGAGAAAATCAAGAATAGGAAGTTGAGAGTTAGGGGAAATTTTAGTATCACTCAATGTATCTTCGATTTCATGTGTTCCTGTACCAAAAATTATTGCATATTTGAGGGTTTTTTTAGGCTAAGTGGTCAAAATGGTGAAGTAATGGAAGAGTGTTTTAGGCCCACACATCTGTATGAAACAGAACTGCTTTTCAGTTCAACAGCAACAATGCCGTAGCTTCCTCTCTACTGTTACAGTGTTAGCGAAACATGTCTAGAAATGTAATTATTGGTTCAATGATTTGATCAGTAATGTTGTCCGATTTCCACCAATGAATACATTTTTCCAGTAACCTTTAGTAACTTGCTTTGAAGCCTTTTTAAGTAATTTTTGAATATCATTAGGTATGAGCGACTTATGCCTATACTAGCTCTATCAAATTTACTTCACAATGAAGAAGTCGTACTATTATACCCCGCGATGCTGCAAGGTCATCAATCGCATATTTTTTAAACTCATGTTTATGTATTTTGGCTTGATAGTTGGCATAATATATGAAATTGAGTCAATTTGCCAAGAGCCACTGTTCAGGCCATAATAGTATATTTTAATTTTTTTAAATTGTATCGTTATGGAGCATACTTCTACGAACTATTCTCAGAACGTATGACATGTATGCAAGAAGTTCCAGCTGCAATTTACATGCACTACAACGCACATATATTGAACTTGTTCATTGTTAACTGTTGTATTACTGTTACTTTGATTGAAATCATGTTTTTTGTACTTCAAAAAATTAAATCCGCTAAACGCACCCTGTTTTTGTTGGATAAGGTAGAAAAGACTTTTACAACTCTACAAAACATTGCACAGACTGATCCAAGAATGGAAGTCTTCAACTTTGTGTTTGACTTTCTAGAACTTAGAAGGTTCTAGCACAATGTGGCTTACTTTTCAAGACCCTCCAGTCAAGCAGTATCACCTATTTCAAAGTATCGCAAGGAAGGACATAGTTTCCTCCAAACGTGGAGGTGAAAGTAAAGTTTAATATGAATATGTGGAACTAGTTTCAATTTGTTGATTAGTGACATCCTTAGCCAGGAAATACAGACCAGGCTCAAGGAAAAGAAACTGATATTCAGTATACAAAATATATTTTAATATTGATATTTTAATAAAGAGCTCCTCCTATCTGAACTGAGATGTTTTTATGAAATGAAAGAATCAATCAAAATATTCATAATAATTTTGTTTTCGTGCTTCTGGTGGTAGAAGACATACAGCATTCCAGGAAAGGTCCTAATTTAGCATTTTTGGCTATTTAAAGAGGTGTTGATGTAGATCTGAAATAATTCACTAATTCAATATTGGCCAAATGAAGAGACCTGATATAAAAATAAATGTTCAATTGATGTTCATTTAAGTGTTCAAACATACACCGAGTCCTCAATCCATTTCAAATAATTTGATTATTTTTTCTGCCTGAATAGAAAAATAAGAGTCGCTGTAAGCTTTGCCACTCCAATGAATGTGTTTCATATGATATAAAGTCATGAGTTCATATATAATAAAGGATCATCATTATTTATTTGGAATTTTGAGATTTCTACGTAAAAGTAAAAATTTTACTTTGGCTTCTCAAGGTGAATCATTAAGAATCATTGTAGAGTCAAGTGCTCTATTCTACCTTTCAGTATTCATTTCATTGACATTTCTAGGGAGAAGAACTTATTGCACAAAAGAAATTAAGGCAGGAGGTAATGCAACTGGAAGACTTCTTGGCACAATTGAGAAAAGAATATGAAATGTTAAGAATCGAATTTGAACAGAACTTGGCCGCAAATGAACAGACAGGTCCAATAAACAGAGAAATGCGGCATTTAATCACTTCTTTACAAAACAACACTCAGCAACTCAAGGGAGAAGTTCATAGGTACCCAGAATTTACCCAATTCTGCAGGGATTGTTATTAATAATCAATTTGTAGATATAAGAGGAAGTACAAAGAAGCTAATGCAGAAATTCCAAAGTTGAGAAAAGAAATCGAAGAACTTCAAGTGAAACTCACTCAAGCACAAGGAGCGAGTCAAGATCAGAAAGAAAACATCAAAAAAGAGGAAATCAAAGAAGAAGATACATCCACTAGTGATGGTCAGCAAGTTAAAGAAGAACCAACTCTTACAGTAAAAAAAGAAGAAGATAATGCAGAGGTATTTTTTTTTAATTGAAACCTATTACTATTTTGATTTACCAATATTTCAGCAAGTTGATGATGCTGAAGGCAAAGATCAAGCTGCGGGTTCAAGTGGCTCACCAACTATCAAAAAAGAAGGCGTGAAGCAGGAAAAAAACATTGTTAAAAAGGAAGCCGTACTCAAGACTGAAAAGGATCACAGAGAAGCTATCAGAGCAAAAGAGGCTAAAATTGTTGAAAGTGAAATTGTACGAGATTTGAAGAATCAATTAAAGTGAGTAATGTGTCCATCAGATGAAGGAATTTTGAAAACCTATTTTTTTTTTTCAAGAAAAGCGCTCAATGAACAGAAGGAGATGAAATTGCTTCTCGATATGTACAAAGGTGTTAGCAAAGAGCAGAGGGATAAAGTTCAGCTTATGGCAGCAGAAAAGAAGCTGCGAACTGATCTAGAAGAACTTAGGCAAACTATAAAGAAGTTGCAGGTTATTTTAAACAATCAATAATTCTATTATTTGAAAATCACACTGCCAAATCAAAACTTCTCAAATACGAATAGAAGTTGTTTCGTATTATCAACAATGGAAAGTTATTGAAAATGAAAAATTATTTCTTTTAGAGAGTGCCAGAAGTAAAACGAATCCACTGCCTTTTTTGAGATTTTAAAATTTGTCAATATGAAAGATGAATGAATCCAGATCAGTTGAGAATTTGTATAAATATATGAAAATGGGCCATCATATTCTATTCACAGTAATTTTAAGATATCACTACTTTGAATATTTGACATCATCCAAATTGTCAAGTTAAAAGTCTCTGTTTGCTTGATTAGGTCGCTAAAGTCCTTCATCTGGCAGGTATTCCTAGTCTCTAGTTGAATTATTATGTACTCTGAATAAACAGAAATGAAACACTTCTGAATGAATATGACATTAAATTACCTACTACGTGGAAGATCATNATTCAAAGTCATATCATTCCGATGTGTGTATGTTTCACTGGCAAAATCAATTATTCGAATGATAGAAATAGTGAAAAATAATTAACTGTACTTGTTAAAAAATATATTTGGTATTTTGATTTTCAACAAAAAAGTTTCCTGAATGAAGTCAAAAGTCAAATTTTGTGTTTTCTGAATAACTAAACATAATCTTATGCAGGTATGGTATTTTTCTATCACTGACCTTCCTCAATGGTTCTGCAAGTTAAATAAATATTCAAATATCTTCAACATATTTGTTTATTCACTTTACGAATTGCTAAATATATTTGAACATAACTTCGTTTAGGAAAAATTGTATTTAACTAGATTGATATGATTTTCTACAACTATAATTAAATCAAGAGGGATGACAAGAGGAAATTAGCTGAAGATGAGGCGATGAAGAAAATCAAGCAGCTTGAGGAGCAAAAGTATGAATTACAAAAACAAGTGGCTAATCATAAACCATCAGATGGAAATTGGGGTGGACATAATGTACTCCATCAAATGAGGCCATTTGTTGGATCGCATGAAGAGGAGGCTCTGTTGAATGAAATGGAAGTTACAGGGCAAGCTTTTGAAGATATGCAGGTTAGTAACGCCGTTTTTAGCGGCGATAATGTTTACTCAACTTGAGTTTCGTACTTAGGTATTGAGAAAATATAACTGTTTAGTGCGACTCCGGTTTAAACGACCAACTCCTTTTAGCGACCGTTTTTAATGATAATACGTTCGGTTTAAACGTCGCGCAATGTTTTGTTTACACAGCCTATGTACCTATACCAATACAATTGAAGAAAAAAGTGCAATATAACACCGATTAGAAGCCGGTGAATCAAATGCAGCCCTCGCAAAGAGTTTGGCATATCTCATTCTCCAATAGTTGCCAATGCCAATGTTTTGAAATGCAAACGTGTTTTTTACTCATGGGAAGTTGGATAAGGCATTCTTACAGTGGTTCAAGCTTCAGCGCTACCGGGAAATACCCGTTAATGGACCTCTTCTACAAAAGAAAGCAAACTTTTTTGCTAGACAGTTAAAGTAAGGCACAACATCTTCAGTGGTAAGATTGCTGGCGAGTCTTTGTCTTTGAAATTTTTAATGCAGATGAGAATTTTTTTTCTAAATTAACCGCGGACAAGACGTTGAAATTCAAAGGTGAAAGATGTACAGAAGGAAAATTATCAAAGGAGAGAATAACTGTGATGGTGGCAGCCAACATGAGCGGCACAGTTAAAAAAACTTCTCTTAATCAGAAAATCCCAACGTCCCCGACGTTGGGAATTTATGGCATGTGCCAGTGGATTGTTAGAGCAATCGAAGAGCCTGGATAACGGCTGACATTTTCACCAAATGGGTAGGCACATGGAATTGTGAACTTACGAAAAATAACAAGAAAATCTTGCTGTTAGTTGACAACTGTCCAGCACATTCCCATATTGCAGACATGAAAAGCATAACCCACGACATCAGTGTTGCAACCCATGGATCAAGGGGTTATTCGTAGCTTTAAAAACACATGTTCGTAAAAACCTTGTCCTGAAAATGATCCAGTTTCTAGGCAGCTGCAACAGTGTTAAGTACCCAAATCACTGTTCTTGATGTTATTCTAATGATTCAAGATACCTGGAACCAACTCAAGCAAGGGACAATTTTTAACTATTACAAACACGCTGGTTTTGTGCAAAGCACAATAGGATGACATACCACTGAGCCTTTGGGCGAGGGCTATTGATAGGCATCAGTTACTCATAACAATCGAGAACTGTGAACAATACGCGTGTGACATGATGTCCAATGATATCAATCCGAACAGCTAAATAAAAGACTAATGAACTAATGTACTCTTTACTACTAATAAAAAAATCGTGAAGGTTTATGAAAAAATTAAATTAAAAAAAACTAAACTACGCCGCCCATGCCATACAAAGAAACCGCCGACATTCGGTAACTATTCAGTTTTTATGCCAATCGAATTGACTTCGTATATACTATACTTAAGAAATAATCTTGCCTTTTTGTGCGTCCTCTGGTTAATATGTTATAGGAAATCCGGTCCCTTGAAGGTCGTTTTATCAGGATTCCACTATATATCACTTATCACATAACAATGAGTCGAAACAGTATCAAAGCAAATATTAGTATTAAAAAACTAGTTTTAGAATTAGTTTGAAAGAAACTATTGAACACTGTTGCTAAAATATATGTTAGCTTTATTCCAAAGACAGTCAAATTTGAACAGTATAAAATACGAATAGTTGCTGAGGTTATACAACTTTCAAGTTCGGAATAGTGCTCCAAGTTTCTGTCGGACTAATTTTGCTATTCCAGTAACACGATTGTGCTAAAATAAATCACTGACAATTTTAACAACCAATGAATTTTATTTTGAGGTTATATATGTATCTCTTTTTTGGATTCTTAGGAACAAAATTCGCGATTGATACAACAACTCAGAGAAAAAGATGATGCTAATTTCAAACTTATGTCTGAGAGAATCAAATCTAATCAATTGCATAAACTGGCGAGAGAAGAAAAAGATGTTTTGAAGGAACAAGTTGGGACACTCACTACCCAGGTGGATTCTGCAAACCTTGTTGTCAGAAAACTGGAAGAGAAGGAAAGAATTTTACAAAACACTCTTGCCACAGTGGAAAAGGAGCTGACTTTGAGGCAGCAAGCTATGGAAATGCACAAGAGGAAAGCTATCGAATCAGCTCAGTCTGCAGCCGATTTGAAACTTCATTTAGGTAAGTACAAGTATACAAAGTGTGTACAATTTTTTTAATTATAATAGGAACAACACGTGAAATTTAAACAAAATAATTTTAATAAGAACTTAATACTTCACTGAAAACATAATTAGGAAATAGTAAATATTGTGGTTCTGATATTCCAAATTTGTTGTTAAAATATTTTCCGGTACATAAAAAAGGTGATGAAAATAATATATTGCCACATATATTGGTACATTCAGTGATTTGGAAGTCATGGAATTTGCTTATTTGAATCGACTCATTGTTTTTCTAGAAAACAACAAAATTCTTTCTCATGATTAACATGGTTTCAGAAGTGGTAACAGTATGTTAACAGTGAATCACTCATTTCATCAGTATAATTTATAGTTGTTAGACAATGGGAAATGCCCTGTTGTGATTTTCTGCAATTTCAGTAGAACATTTGACTGCGTTGATCATGGCAAACTACTTTTCAAATTACAAGAGTGTATAATAGAGAATACTTGGTTGATCAAATTAGTTGATCATGTAAAAAAATCATACTCTAGTACAAATTTATTTTAAGGAAGCTCTTGAAAGAATGACAACTCGGTTTTTAACTAATTCTTTCTTCCCCAACACAGAGGAAACTCATATTTTGCAAGAATTGAATGGTGAAAAAACTAGGGTACTACTATAACATTTTTGGATATTCATTCTATAACACTTCAAGTTGGAAAACTCTAATGCAGCGTACATAGTCTGTTAATAGGGATCATTTGTTTCATCTTTTGGCTCAAAGAAAAATAAATACATGAAAAAAAAAGCTGAGTATTAGGTCTCTATTTTGTGATTGTCATCAATAAATGAGAATCTGTACTTACCAAACACAAATAAGTGCCCTCTATTATTTTTTCACTCAGGTCAAACCGTTACTACAGTTCTTTTTATTTCAGAAAAATATCATTCCCAAATGAAGGAAGCTCAACAAGTCGTGGCAGAGAAAACGAGCTCCCTTGAAGCAGAAGCTTACAAAACAAAAAGACTTCAAGAAGAAATTGCTCAGCTCAAGCGAAAGGGTGAGAGGATGAAGAAGATGGAAATGGCGGGAACTACGCTAGATGAGGTTATGATGGAAGAAATAAGGGAGTATAAGGAAACACTTACATGTCCGTCTTGTAAGGTAAAACGGAAAGATGCGGTCCTCTCAAAATGTTTCCACGTATTCTGCTATGATTGTCTCAAAACGAGATATGAAACTAGGCAGAGGAAATGTCCTAAGTGTAATTGTGCATTTGGTGCGAATGATTATCACCGTTTATATCTGTCTAACTAAGTTTTTCTGTGAACTAAAAATAAGTACATGTGATTGGTTAATGCTTTTTTTGATCGTAAACTTTTTTATATATGGAATAAAAACCCTCAAATGTCTGCTTAGTTTTTCCCATTTGTTTAAAATATTTCGTGAATATTTTTGCTAACCTAACCTAAGAACCAAATGTCGAACTCAAATTTTCAAGAATACAAAATATATTTTTCAGAGAATCATTGGTGATGAATTAATGACAATAACAACTTCCCTTATGAAAAACAAAAAAAACGAGGGTTTCATAGAAGTCCATCTCTAGTCCCTTACACAGAGCTTTGCCTGTCACCAAAATGGAGTTCATTTGACTGATTAAATTTTCCTCTCCTACATTTAGAAGGAAAAAGAAAGTAGAAACACGCTTTCTATTGTCAAAAAGAATTGCAGAAGGCTATAGACAAAGCTCTGTAAGAGCCACTTACTTTGTACAGCATTCAAACAAGCAGGCAATTAGATGGTAGCTGGAAGGCGGTGTTTCATATCATTATGACTGTATGTCACCTGAAGAGACAATTTTATTCTTGTCATGATGACTGTTCATATAAACATTCTTATGGTAAATTCACTTAATTGCAGCAGTAGAAATTTAATTATCATTTGAAAGAGACTATTTTGGAAGAGATCTAGTTTTTAGGAAAAAAGTTTTTTGTTTGCTTTCTATTTCTCAATAATTTAAATAAAAAATGTGGGGGACATCCTAAAAAAAAGTAATGAATGATTGAATTTTGTCAGTATTTCTCCCAACTCGAGTAAAAACAATGGTCGTTTCACTAACATTTGATATGAATTTTATGATTGATTTGGCCGTTACTTGATGAAGATCCATAGTAATTTCATAAAGTACACCTCACGATTTGATCTCAACAAACAAGTTTGTTTATAAAATTTGAAATGAACTTTGCAACACTTGAAACTAATTCATATCGCCTAATTTAATGGTCATGGGAAAAAAATTCTTGGGTTTCACTTCGCCATCTTCATATAGAAAGTTGTGGAGAACTTCCAAAGTGAAAGCCAAAAAGCTGTTTTCCCAAAAACCAGAAAACTATACACTTCAGCAACTTTTGATGCTTCATTAAGCTTAGATCAGATCTTCTTTGGAGTATTTTTCTCATGTGTGGAGCCCCACATCTAAGCATACCTTGAAGCTGCTGGATTTAATTCAGAAAAGAACCATCCACCTGATTGGAGATACGAACATCACTTGCAACCTTGATAGTCTGGAACATCGAAGATAGGTTGGAGATTTATCTCTCTTTTATAGATACTTTCACGGGAGATGTTCAAGTGACTCTGCACATTCGATTCCACCAATAGCGGTACATATCAGAAATACGCGACGGACTGGGGCTACTCATCGTTTTTGAGGTTCAACTCAGTACACCTCGAACTTCACTGTTTAAGAACTCTTTCATTTGCAGAACTACGTTCATGTGGAATAATCTCCCTGAGAACGTTTTTCCACATGAATTTAATCTCCAGCGTTACAAATCCAAAAATCATATACATTTTGGAACGTATTTTGAAAGGGAGGGGTGAGTCTCAATGAGAGTGACACAATTTATTAATGAATTGATTTTTGTTCGAAATAGCAAAAATTTGGGCGTTACTGATTAATGAACCCTTTTTTTATAGAACTAGGGATAGAATTGATTTTATCATTTTCTTTTTTTGGAAAGTGTAAAGGTCTATTCCGACTACCTTTAAAATTTGAACAGATTTACTTATATGAGGAAATATTGCTATAGAAGGCATGTTGAACCCTTGGTATCTCTTAGCTTGAAGTTACATGAATACATACATACATACGATAGTATAAATGACTTTGGAAAATATTTAAACAAGCAAAGTACTTAATAAATAAATTTATTTACAATAATGGCAATATAATACATTCAGAAAAATACGAATTTTGTCAATGCACCACTCATATTGTTACATTCAAATTTTCCTTTCGCGGAATTTAAGTGTGCGGTTTACATTATTGAATATCCAAAAAAATGAAATTTTAACCTGTAGAACTGATGATTATTGTAAAAAATGTTAAATATAAAATTGCTCAGTATAAAATAATACCATCAAAATGAAATATTCTTAGTTCCTTTGGACGTGGAAGCAGTAAATGGCATTATTCAGCCTTTTATGATTATCAAGATGTTAAATTTAGATAACGCTTAAAATACATGCTACAAATTGAATGGCAATTTTTCACAACCCTAATTCACAATCTATGAGAAAAATGTGTAAATAAAACAATTCAACAAATAACAGAAGTATAAACAATTTTTTTCATAATTTTGATTCAATTGCTAAAATATGAAAATAATGAAATATGAAATATGTTACTTAAAAAACGAAAATTAAAGTAAACATTCAGTTTTATGGTGATTAAAACTCTGTTGGGGATGGTGTTGCTTATAGTTAGCTCACCCTGTATTTTTCACAAACCTTTTAAACAACTGCGTGACACTACAAACATTAACCTATCAAAAACAACGTTTTCATGTACCATACTCAGGCAGTTGAATTAATAGCGGATGTTATTTCTAAGCCAGCCACAGCCTGCAACAAGGCTGCATTAGCATTAAAATCCGAAGGTACCAAAGGTACTGACGATGCACTCTGAAAGCTAATTTCTTCTAAATCCCTCTGCAGTTTTCCGAGAGACGCACACTGTTGAACTACAGGTTGAATGCTCTGCAGTACCTGAAAACAATTTTAATCTTTTAGTAACTCTTTATCATCTGGGGTCCAAGGTCAAATTTTGTCAGGCTTGCTTTTTGATGTACAGAACTTATAAACAATTTGAAATCTGATTATTTTTTCCTTTGGTAGTATGTATTACATCAAGATGAGTATTATTGGAACTTATTATATTATGATCATGCAATTTAGAATGTTTCAATAATCGAATATTACTTTTCAGTTGATTTTTAGACAATTCATATAGGAATTTAGCTTTTTCGAAGAGTATTAAATGATTCAAAGTCATATCATTAGTCAGTTTGTATATTTCCAAAGATGGAGTATCCCATGGTTTATTATATTATTTTATAGCTTAATTCATTAAACAATAAATTATATTTTTTTGTCTTTTAGTGCAGGTTGACCAAATTTTAATGAGATATCTAATTCACAGATATTTAATTCGCAGAGCGATTATCTAAAAAATGTATACTTATGATTGCTCCCAGCAATCTAAATCGATTTTTCAATTTTATTTATAGAACTTCAAAATTTAAATCTTCATCAATTAATCAATTATTAGGCCTGACTATGTTTTTCAACTTGCTTGATTAGTTTGTTTTCAATTTTAAGATTCAGTTTTATATTATTCATATTTTTTTCTTCTTGAAAATCATTAATATTTTTCTAAGTTGATTTTTAAATCGACGTCATTCAACCATTTCTCAATTTTTTTCATGTCGTTATTTATAATTATTTTCAATTAATTCTCAGTTGTATTAGACCTGTCATTGCTGACTTGAGTTTGGTTGGATTGCATATTGAAATTTATCAAAATCAATACCTATAAATTTTTATAAAATTCACCTCCTTCATAGATTGGTTTAAGAATAGATTTTTCAGACAATCAGGAAAAATATCTTTTTCAATACATTTATTGATTATTATTGATAAAGGAAGTTTTATTTAATCAACAATTTCTTTTTAAGTTTTTGGGGATAATTTCATTACACAAGCTTCAATTATTTTATAAAATACAATTGAGTAAATAATCTGATCAATTTGGAGTTTGTTGGGTTATTATGTTCATTAACAACATCATTATCATCTCGTTTAACTGAAACGTATGCAGCTGTAAATTTTTCACGTAACACTGAACTGAAACAAGTCTTGTGAGATTTTGATTGGAATTTTTGTTGGTTCCTTGGAAATATCACAAAATGACCAAAAACAACTTTAGAAGATGAAAAGGTTTCTACTTTCAGACGACATTGTTCTGTAACTCTAATATTGTTCTTATTATGAGTAGAACCATCAAATACAAATACATACTGAATGTATTTATTAAAAGTGTTTATTTTTCCCTCCTGTACAACAAGGTGTAATAGATCTATCTCAATGATGTATGTATGATGATGATGTATATTGTGTGTGAAGGAGTGCATATTAGTATTTTCAATATCTGAAATGGCGATATTTTCATAATGGTAACTCGTAGGAAAAAGCAATATTTGTTGAAAATTGCACAGTCTCCAACTTTCATTGGATCTACTTTTACGATAACACTCACTGAAAAATGCAAAAATAGATTTTTTGAACTTTTTTCTCTAATAATCTTTTTAGCACTCTCCAGGTCTTTGTGCAAGCTTGCTATTTTTGTTTTTATGGTGAGTGGATTATATATCTGCCAGTAGATACAACTAAGAAATTGTCACCTTCAACTGTAGAAGAAAACGGAAATTTTGCGATTGGAAAAATTCATTAACTTACCTCTAATGCACAATCAATTGCATCATATTGTTTCTTCGATTCATTGAGGGCCTCCTTCAAGCTTTCTGACAGAACCTGTCGGCTGGTCAAAAATTCCTGAGTCAATTCCTTAAGATGTTTCTCCTTTTCAGATAACTTCTCTTTTAGAATTGGTATCTAAAAATAGAAATTGGCATAAATTTATTGCATAATATAAATAATATATCTCAAGTAATGAATAAATCATGACTCAGTTCACCGTTATGAATTTTTAATTGAATTATGGAACTTTCTCCGTTAAGTGTTATTAAAATTATAAATAGAATACACTGGTTTCAAATGAGGCGTGTAATATACATTATCGAGGATAATTTCCGCACAATTTGTTGGAAAACTTTCAACTATGAGAGAAAAGTCAGAGTTTAGCATTTAATTATTTTACTTTTAAAATACTTATAAAATAGTAAACATTAGAATGGATACATGAGTGGTTATGAAAAATTTTAAACTTTTATTCGTTAAAGTAACTTAATTCCAGTCATCTCAAAAATACAATGAAATATTCTTAAAACTGTAATGTTTGTAAAAAGGTTCAAAAGATTGTGCTAATCTTACGAAAAATGCAAGCTGAAATATAAGCATAACATACTTTTAGAAACAAAGCATGTTTTTCATTTCCAATTTAATTTCTGATGCCTAGCAATTCTCAAAATATGACCTACTCAAGTCTCTCCATTAGACTGTGGATAGTAACAAGGATTATTGTAGATATTGTAGTAAGGAAGAAAATTGTATAGGTACCACTTGTTTAAAAAAATTGAATTCTCAAATCCATTATCTTGACATTAATGCACTTAACCTGAGGCTACAGTTTCAAAGGTCTATACTGTCTGTCTAAGAACAGGAGGATCAACTTGGGAAAATTGGAAACCGTCAGATATAAAGTCAGTTAAAATAAGAAAAAGTTGATTATTTTAGAGCTTATTTATATGACATTTTGAATTTTGGAATATTCCAATCATTTTTGGAGGAATTCAAAAGAAACAGAATTTTGCTAACTTCGTTTTATTTTATTTTTTTGATATTTGAGAAGATATAGAAGGAAATTAACCTTTTTCACAACAACTACACTGGTGTAACACCATAATCATTCGTTTAGTAAACTTTGAACATTATTTGAATAAGCTCTAAAATGGGCAACTTTTTTCTAATTTAACTGACTTTGTATCTATTATGGTATCCGATTTAGCATGCGGGCCCTCCTAATCTTGGAAACCTAATATATCTTACAACTTTGCTCCTTGCACAATTTTCGATTCACTTGTATATATTTCGTCGCCACAAAAAGATACCCAAGATAATTTCATTTAGACTAGTCAGGGGTGAATAGAATTTAGGTCCTTTTTGCAACCCAAGATGAACCAATGACTTAAAACGAATTTATATGGTTCATTAAATGATCAGAAAACTTAGGTTTTTGAGGCAATCATTCTCATTTTATGCTTTTCACTCAACATGATTGAATGATAGCACTTTTTTTACAACTATCAGTTATGTTATTTACCAAAAACTAACTCTAGTGGGCAGCGCCATATTGAAATTTAGAAAAATCATCCTAAACTTGACAAGTCCTACCTGTCACCACTCTGGAATTTCTATTTCCATCCAGAATACTAAGGTTAATAGTATGTTATATAAAAATATCTCAATACAATGGCAGTACATAATTGAATTGTTTGTTAGCACCAAATCAATTAATATGCATGAAGACTGAGAAATATCAGTTAAGAGCACAGAAACAATATAGCTTGATAATGAAATTAGCTGTACTTGATTTGCTGATTAACCAAGCTATTGTTTGTTACTTGAATTGAACAATAGATATCAATAAACATGTGCTGTTGATGTGAAACACCTTGAAACTACACGAAAAGGTTACTGTGATGCTTACCTCATTATTGGCTGATACAAGTCTACCCAAAATATCGGGCGATGGAAGTTCTCCAGTTTTTTCCCACTTTTTCATTTCTTCCGCAACAGATTCCTCTTTCATTTTATTATCTAACTCTGCTTTGGACAATGCAGTGGACAGTTCACAAACGTCCTGATTCAATTTCTGTAATGATTAAGAATATTTATATTAGGTAGGAACAAGTTTCACAGATATTTGGGATTTAATAAATGTTCCCATAAATTCTTCTATCCGAAGGTAAATTTTGAAATATATAGTGTAGCCTACAAATATACTGAGTATTTCAATAATTGAACACCTCAACATTTTTCCGAAACAAACTGAACAAAAAATTGCTACTTTTTGAGATTGAGGAACTGGAATTTCTGGGATCTTTTAAAATCCATAATTTTTCCCAAAAACCTAACCTATACATCTTACGTTTTTAATGGATGAATTTTGATCAGTAGTTCATGAAAATTTCACATTTGTTTCCAGATAACTATAACTCTTTATAACTACAATGAAAACTCTATATAGTTTCTTTTCTTCATCTATTTGGAAGTTTCCTATATTTTTTGTTCATTGTTGAAGAAGTAGAGAGCAAAAAAGCATTTCTTTTTTAAAACGAACTATTTTTCAATATTCTTATCATGCATTCTCTCAATATTTCATTATAAATAGATATGTTTTTGTCAAACGTGTATAGAAGTTTTACCCGGAAAAATAGTTTTATCGTGTTTGCCATCCATTACTCAAAAGAACCAAGGTGTTATATATGATGGAATGTAGATTTTCAGATTTTATCTGTTCAAGCCCTGTACAAATTTAAATTTAAAAGTAGTAAAAGCATTAACTGTTCAGTTTTTTAAAAACTTCATAGTGTTCCATAAAAGTTGGAATAGCAATGATGTATCATGTTATGACCTTTTTTACATAAATTTTTTGTAGACATTGTAAAGAATGATATGGATCCATTTCATATTCTATTCAAGAATTGTATTTTTTCTATTTTTTGAGAAATCATTGAAGGTACTAAAAATTCTCTTCAGTTCCTGGTAATTTGTGAGAATTTTTTCTTCAATGGCTTATTGAAAAAAAAATAAGTACTTCATTTTTTTTTCTGAAAACATAAATGGCATGATATTTTTCCATTTTCTCCAAGAATACATAATTCGTTTTCATTTTCCTATTTGATTATTGCTATGGAAGTTATTTGCCTTTTAGCAAGTCAGTCCTTTCCGAAAATAGGCTCAAAAGGAGAATATATATTTTTTTATTTTTTCCGAAAATGAGAAATAAAATTTTAGTAAATGTCTCACTTCATTTTCTTTAAAGTATCTGACTCATCATTAGAAATTTCGAGTTCCTTCTTGACTATAGTAAACTACTCTCTCTTTAGAAAAATATAACTGATTATAAAATTGAAATGGAAAAGATCTTTTAGAAAAATGAAAGTAAAGTCCTACAATATTTCAAAGTGAAAGATTGTATGGATATGAAAACCTGTATTTTCAAATAAATATCTTATGGAAATGAAAACAGTTTTCACAATGAATATTGGTATGTAATAATTATTTTGCCTCAAATGAACTATTTATAAGTGCAAAATCCACATTATACATTTCTTCTCGTTCTGCATATTTTCATAAATTTTAGTTTGGTAACATTTGGTAATATAATGTAGTCAAAAATATACTACCTCGACCTCCTCCCTCTGCTTGTTCAACTCAGTTTTGAGACTGTCCATTTCGGCATTTTTCTTGCTCACTTGAGCCAAAAGATCCTTTACTTCTGTTTTCAGTCTTGCCCCGAGTATTTCCCAATCTTTCAACTGTTTAACCACAACCTTGTTGGTTTCCTTTTGCTTATCGACTTGTTCGGATAAGGTGTCCTTGTGTTCCTGTAACTCATTCATGCAGTCTTCGTTCTCGAGTTGAATTATTCTAATAACTTTCAATAGTCTTGTTATCAGGTTATCGACGTCGATGACTTGATCCACGAGAGAGACAGATGGAAACATTTCACTTAACGACGCCAAATCACATGTAAAGGAAGTAGTCATACTGCCATATAAACTCACGCTAGTGGGTTCTGACATTTGTCTATTGTAAATAGCATTGGATAGGTCTGTGAGGCTTTCACTGTGTGTCAAACGAGAACTCATCATACTTCCATGACCAGAAGACACTAGATTTTGGGAATGGCCGTCGGGTATAACAACGTCTTCTAATACGTGTTCCATCATGAGGCAGGGTTCGGTTTCTGAGTCGAGCATTTCGTTCGAACTGAAAAACATTTTGGAAATGAACATTCTCTAGTTTGAATTCATAAAAAAATATCCAAATCCAATGATTTATTCTAAAATTATTTGCGAACTGGGAGAAACAAAATAATACATTTATTATTTTATAAAGTAAAAGAACACCTTGGACTGGACTTCGCCACAAATATAAAAATGTTACAATAGGTAATAAAAAAAAACAAGATGACAAAAAAGAAGGAAAAATATTTGAAGATACAAAAATAGAGATTCGTAGAGAAAGGGCTAAAGAAAATTATTTTAGTTATTTTTCCAAGTCTGTTGGTCTAGTGTCGAATATAAAAACACTTTCGTCAGGATTCTCAGTTAGTTCCTCTGAATGCTAAATAGATGCTGTTTAAGATAAAATTTTAAATATATTTTCTTTCAAAGTAAAATAATTGTTTTACTATTTATGGAAATAATTTATTGTGGATGATATATAGGAAAATCATCGTTAAAATATTTCTTTTTTATGGGCAGTAATGCTTCAACACTACCTTTTTATGCATATTCAGATTATGCATATCTATTGCTAAGCTGGTTAATGCAAAAACAGATTTAAACAGATTCTATAAACAGATGCTAATATAAGTAAGGGGGACTCCTGTATTAGGAGATTTTGAAGCATATGCATGATGCACGAAAACGTTTACAATTAAACATATTCAACTGCTTCAAATCCGCAAATTTTTGTGAAATTTTAGGTACTCTTCTAATACCGAATATCAACCTCTGATGCAACAATTTTGAATTTTCTGTATGAGACTCCTGTCATTCTAAACATGAAAAGATAAATAACATCACAGTGGTTAAATTACGAATAAACTAATGAATCACATTGCGTTTTCTTCATATCTACTGCAAATATTGCATAAGAGGACACATTATTTTTCAGAAATGTTTTCTCAGTCGTATAGTATTTTTTCAAGTTAAAATAACTAGAAAAATATGGAACATATGAACTTGTTTATAACCGATTTGAGACCATTTATGATTTGCTATGAAAGTTGCCAAATTCTTAGAAACTCTTGACGTGCAGATTTGCCAAATGAATGCACACAAAAATATTTTTTTGGTCAATTGATCTGTAAAACTTCGAACTTTTTTCCCAAGATAGTTTTTTCACATTGTGCTGGCCTCCCAAAGTTGAAAGAAAACTTTGGAGTTCTATCTCTTATTTTGACATTCGATAAAAACTATACAGGGGAAGTTTCTATTGGGGAGCAGCCAAGCAATCAAAAAATATTCAGTTCATTATTTGATTCTAAATGTTTCGAAAGACATTCATGGTCCAATCAACTACAAATGAACTGTTGATTCCTTCTCGAAAGGAGAAATCAATAGTCCAGATAACCCCTATTTGTATATTCTGAATATTGAACTACATTATTACATCATGTGAAGTGGTGGAAATTAGTTTCGACAGAGTAGATAATTCTGGGAGTCATGGAAATCGATGATCCAGTAAATATCTATTTTAAACTTACTTTATGTTTTGACTCACCTTGAATGGTCGGTAGATAATGTATCTTTGCTGACATCTCTGATGGCAAACGGCGATTGCGCCGCACTTTTTATGGCATTTATAACAGCTGACACAAAAGAGGAGCCTTTAGCAGGTGATGGAGATTTATCTATGAACAATTTTCTAGACTTCTCGGGTGTTGATTCTGGACTACTACTGCTATTCTTGTAAGCTTCATTATGGAAAATAACGTCCTGAAATATTATTTAAAATATAAGAACACATAATAAAATTGAAACCCACAAATTCTGCATATTTAAAAAAGTTTTGAACATTTTCAAATCAATCAATGGTATAATTGAGAAGATAGGTTACAGCTAAAATAAGAAATTGAATAATCATAAACAGTGTAAGTCAATAATACTGGAATGGTAAAAAATCTGCTCCATGTCGACGATTCTCGTATAACCTCTATCTCTATTATTTACTGGGATTTTCTATAAAAGACCCAAAACTTGACTTTGTGGAATGTAATTTACTTCTCTCAGGACTAAATGTTAGCACCGACTTATGTTGGTTGGCACCGACTTGAAAGCTTTTAGGCCTCAGTTTCATAGATGAATGTTTATTTAACCATGTTATGCAAAAATATATTTGTAGCAGGTCAGGGAGACAATAGATTCTTTGCAATAAATAAATAAATCAATAGTATCACAACTATATCAGTATTTTAAACACAGAAAAACATTCACCTGTGAAAATGTATGTCAAATAAGAAAAATCAAGAACAAAGCATATTGGTTAGAGTGACTGTTCATTTGATGGGACGACAAGAATTTCTGAAAGCAGCTCCTGAAATTATTCTAATAGCACACTACTGAACAATGAGAATTTTTACGGCGTTAGGTCAGTTTTCCCACTGAATAGCGACAGGTTACAACCTTTCATACATTGCTTGTCCCTCTTGAATTTAATTTTCTGTTCACCTCATTTTGAAAATTTTCGCCAACTTCTTGAACCGCATCACCAATAACCTGATGGAATTTATCTCAGACTTCTTGCATTTCCTCCGGAAATTGAGTAATCTTTAGCTTCCTTCATTTAATTGAATAAATAGTTCAAGGCGATTTTTTCAACATTGGTAAGTATACACATGTAAAACATTTATTGTGAACTTTTTGGATATCATAGTTTAGCCGGAAGGGGCACCAATTTTCTTTTAATGAAATATTCAATTCCTTATTCTGGAAACTATAGTACAGAATTACCTTTCAAATATTTTGAATGAATATCAACGATTTACTTTGATCAAGTGGAATCGAGGTTGAGATATGGTGGTGTGTTAATAGGTTGGTCATCACTTGTAATAGTGTGTTTATTGCTTAAAAGAGAATTAAAGAGACCATATCTGATGTTTCTCAAATAACAATTATAGGGAATTATTTAAAAATCTCAGACCTAATGATTTTGCCAGTAATGTGCATTTTATAATTGATCTTGAAATTGTTTATTCAGTATTCAAGTGGTTTTCAATTGACATTACTTTGATTCATTACTTCAATTTTAATAATCAAGATTAATATGGAAATTAATTGACTAACTGTGAACTTGAATATCTTCAAGTGAACTTTTACTGGGTACTCGAAGTTTATTAAGTATCTCTCACATTTTAATATATATTCATTTAAAAAACACTTTAATGTGTGTCACAATATCGTGACCCCGAAGATGCTATTGCATAGCGAAAGACGTGTAGCGGTTTTGTAAACTTTCAACTGGAAATCTCACATGAAAGTGTCAGTTCTATCATATTTTTCAATATCTACTCTTTGATAAATGGTGAAACTGGAACCACTGGCGAAGAATAAATCCCAAAGCAAGCACTTTTCCCAATCACCAGAAATGTTTGTTTTGGATCTACTCTTTGTTTTCAACATTGTAAGGTAGGATTGGATAGGTCCAAAGTGCAACCCGCGATGGTTTGTTATGGCTCACAACTATTTGAACTCGCCAAATAAATCGACCTTAAAATATAGGGTCTTTCATTTAGCGCTTTCTATATTTCAATTTAAAGAAAACAAAGTATGTGTGAGAGATATCATAGAATTTTTTTACTCGTTTGAAAGACCTATTGGAATATAACATCGTTCAAATGTCCAACACGGCTTCTTTAGGTGGAGCGCATCCGTAACGTCCAATTTTTCATGACTGTGGCGCATAAATCAGGTTGAATTTGACCATTGGGATGGGTTATGTTGGCTTTGAGAACCACTGTAGTTTGTGGCTTATTCGCATACACCTGCGACTCAAGGAAACCCCACAAAGAAAAACTCTAACGGGGTCAAATCGCATGATTTCGGTGGCCAGTTCACATCACCTCCACGTGAGATGACCATGCTCTCAAATCGCTCGTGCAGAATATTCAATGCGGCATAGCTGTGCGTCACGTAGCGCCGTCCTGTTAAAACCACATGTCGTTGCGCAGATCATCCAATTCAGGCCAAAAGAAGTCGCTAGTTATCGACCTATAGTGCTATAGATTTTTTCGAAATGCACTGGACGCTCTTGGATCTCATGTGGATTGGTATCATCCCAAATTCGAAAATTTTCTTTGTTCACGTACCCATTCATCCAGAAATAGGCCTCATCGCTGAAGATGATTTTTCGATGAAAATTAGGGTCAGTTGTCAACTGTTCCTGAGCCCATTCAGCCAACACACGCCGTTGTCTATGATCGTTTACCTTCAGTTCCTGGATCAGTTGAATTTTGTACAGGTGCAGGCCCAAGTCAGGACGCAAAATTCGCCCAAGTTGTGGTCTGCGAAAGACCGAGTTCTTGTGGGCTACGCGAAATCGGCTGCCTCGGACAGATCTTGCGTTTCTTCGACGAACGGGTGTTAATCAGTCGTTTACTGAACCGACTGATTTAAATTTATCCACCATATTGCGAAAAGTCCTCGCAGTAGGACGATTATGGCGACCGTAAAATGGGCGAAGCGCGCGTTACGTTGTCCGAACAGAACGCTCATTTTGATAAAACAATTTCATTATTTGCATGTGTTGTCGAATGCTATATCTGTCTATGGTGATTTGGCAAAACAGGCTGAATGAATGACAAATAATTTGACAGATGTAGCTTCACCAAGATGACTGTTATCCATTGTCAAGGTTCGGAAGTCCCTGTTGGAAGACTCGTTATGTTTGTTTCTGTTGCTCATGATGATATTTGTTACTTACTGCGAAATTTCATTTTTTAAATTTTGACGGATATAAATTTTTCAATTTTAAACAAAATATTTCTGAACCGTCGCACATCACCAATACGTCAATGACTTGGCTTGATCATCTTTATGGTAATTTCTAAGTAAAAGACAGTAGAGCGATTGATACAAGCATAGACAGACATTTTCTCATATGTTGCTCTTTACAAATTGAAGTGGATAATTTATTACTCTAAACTATACTTTTTCGAAATTTTGATAAATTTCAATAGCTTCAATGCTGAACTCAAAAATATGGTTCAGAATAATATATATCTGCTCAATAACATCGTTAAGAAAATAGAATACTCGAATGACATTTTTTTTAAATTGATGAACAGTCATGCTACCGCAAGGACAGAAACTGAAATATTTTGCAAAAAAATATATAGTAGAATCTCAAGCCGAAACCCCTTTTGTATTGATTTAATATTTACACTTTCCAATGTATACAGAGCTTCTACAAGATTAAACTTAAAAATTGCAACAACATAAAATATGCATTAAAGGTGAATTGAATTACTTATTATATTTTTAGCTATTTAGACTAAAAGATCAGGTTTAGAACAAGTGAAGACAGGACACACATGAGCTTGCTCAGGTGTAGCATATAACAATTATACATATTACTGTATGTTATTAGAATCTAATAATTAGATAACTGTTCAATAAGTTGAACTGAATTAAATACTTTCTCCTCAATGAACATCGCAGGAAGTCAGCTTCTGGCAAGTCTGGCAACTTGTGCCTTTGGTGAGTGATCGAGACTATTTAAGTAAAAAAAAAACTAATTATTGTTCACTTACCTCTAATTCTTGATCCGAAATATTGTATGCTACAACTAATTCATCTACAAGACCATCCAACCTTGCAATAAGAGATGATAAAGCAACCGCTGCTCCAGATACAGCGCTACCTTGGTGAACTAGGAGATCCCTACTTTTCGATTCCAACAGGGCTAAATGTGCCTTCAAATTCAAGTTTTCTTGCCTCTTCTGTTCATTCAATCTTACCTATGAAACGTACATAATAGATGAAAATTGAAATTCACTTGAAAGCAAACACTCACCATATGTCTATATTCATCTTGCTTCTCTGCTATATCTTTATCTTTCTGCTGAATTACAAGTTGTTGCCTTTTTAGCTCAGCTTCAGACTCCTTCAGGGCATCGTGTAATGTCATTTTTTCGGCCTGCATGAACTCTTGCAACTCCATACTTTCCATTTCCAGATCTTTGTGCTGCTGCAGTAATATTCTTTGCGAGGCCATGCTTCTCTCCAATTCCATCTGAAGGGCTCTACAGAGTGTATTCAATTTCGAAATTTCTTCTTCCTGTTTGATAACAACTTGTCCAACATTTTGAAATCGAGTTTCTAATACCAATAGACTATCGCTGGAATTGTTATCTGACCCTGAAATAACATTTTTGATTTCTAGACAGCAATGGAATATGCATGGCGGGGTAGGATATCTTTGTTTATTGTCCCACTACTTGAACTCTTGCTTGCTGTTTTTTGCATGTGTTCAAGCTTGGGTTATAAAATGATGAGCAAGTTCGGCTATTCAATGTCTACTTCATCGTTAGCACTGCTGGTTATGGAAATAACAGGATCACTCTTGGTGCTGTTATTTCCTAACCGAATGAAATCCTAATGATGGCTTAATTTTGAGGTGAATGTATTCATGCTAAGAGGATGTGTGAATCTGAGCATATTATCTATCTCTTACAAAACCTTTGAGATACTTAGTCGACTCCTCAAACGTGGGATACCTTATTAATTTGCTTTGCACCATCTGCTGCTTTGAGCAGCATATGAAGAATTTGTATCATTGGAGGAAACAAACTCTTCTTGAGCATGTCAGCAAATGCTTACGCTGAAATGTTTGTTTTCTAAAACCAGTGACGAAAAGACCCTGCATGACTTACATCATACACATAAAGGTTCACATATGAATTGAAAGGTATATACAGTCGTAGACCCACGACAGCGATAATCCTATGCAAGTGTATTCTAGTTAAATCTACGCCATTGATTTATATGTGGAGATATTGAAGGAAACCAATCCCACTCATAAATCAATAAAAATATTCTGTAGTAGCCAAGTAACTCTGGAAAACAGTAAGTTTTCACCAAGTGACGTCCACGTTAGTAGTTAATTATCAAAAAAACTCCTCAATAGAAAGATTTAAACAATTTCCTCTGGGCTAGATTCCTGGCCACACTACCCTAAGCTACCAATGAAGTTGCTGATTGCCTTGCAAGGAAGGCGCTGCAAGCAGTTTCGTTGGATCAGAACCTATCATTATCAATGCTTTAGGTTTTACGAAACAACAGTATATTGGCCCATGCCATACTTCCTTTGAAAAATGTAACCAAATGATTGTTAGACTACAGTTGGGATGGCCTACGTTATCTAAGAAGCCTACTTACAGGTCAACAGTTCACTGTTGTTTGTTTCATCTCATGAAGAGGCTCGCAGTAACGAAAAATTATGTGTGTCGTCTGCTGAATGTCAAGAATTTTGACGAGAAACTAGTTCTATAAGTTCGAAATTTTCTATTTGACTTTTTTCAAAAACCACTTTCACGTAAGTGACAGTTCAAGGACCAAGTTAGGCAGGAAATTAAGGGTTTTTAGTTATCTTTTGACACAGCTCTGAAGAACACATCCTCTAAGATCAGGAAAAAAGTTAGACAATTTTCTAATTGAGTTAAAAGAGTCAAAACAATGCAAGAAAGCTCTGATCTAATACAACAAAGAAATAAGGACATCCATGAATTAGTCCCTGTAGGGAGCTATGGTCATTAATTCAAGCCAAGATTCAAGCACACCAAATTCTTTGGAAGTTCCCGCCACCAATTTTTAAAGCAAAAGGTCATGCTACAGAGATGTGTGCTCGAGAGTGTCTTGAAAAAACAAGGTCTCGACAGTATCAAAGAAAATGAAGAAACAAAGTAATATTTTTGAAGGAGGGAGCCGAAACTCAGAAACTTTCATTAATTTTAAATTAACTTGCATATCTCCGAAGATAACTGAAAAGCTTCTAGGTTTAGACAAGAAAGAACTGAGATTGGTAACATTATTTTGTTTAAATGAAGTAGTTGTAATCCTTCAAATTCTTCAAAACATACCTAAATTTACTTCTCCATCTCCTCCCAGAATGGCCAATACTCTCTGCGAGTTAATTTGGAGTTCTTGTTGTAAACCTTCCTTCTGGATAATTTCGTCTCTTAATTTTAATTCAGTCTCGTTGAGTTTTTCAGTCTGTAGTTTATGTTCGTTTTGTAGAGATTCGTATTTTTCATTTAGTTGGCTCAACTTCTCTTGAAGGTTCTCCATTTCCCTGGTCATCAGATCTGCTTGAACATCTCTATCACATTTTTCGGAGTCTTTCGGACTCTTGGGGTTGATCATTACTCCCGATAAAGCATTCTCAACATCCGTCATAGTTAGAGCTGTTTGAATGCAACATTCGTGGTATATTTTTATCTTTTGCTTATTCTTAGATAGAAATATGGAATTGGTCATTTTGGATGGAGTATTGTCTCTTGAGCTTTTTTTATTTAAGGCCATACGGTGCAAAGTGTTTTCTCTGCTAGAGTTCTTTTTCACATCTTTGACATTTTCAGATTTTTTCTCTTTCTTTTGCCTAGGAAGTGTTGCATATTTTTCTATAGTTTTAGCATCTAATTGAGATATCTTTTGTTTGGGGGAGTCAAGCTGGCCCTTTAAAGACCTTGACATGAGAGGTGCTGGTTTGCTGTTCACAGAAGGCCACCTACCATCATCTGTCGGGGTAGTCGAAGGGGTGCGAGAATTGGAAGGGGTGCGTGTGGTAGCCGATGAAGGCCTTATCGTTTCTTTTTTGGGACAACTGAGCAAATCTAAATTCGTAGGAGTTGTTTTACCTCTTTGGCAGTTGGATTTTGTACTCTGGGTTGGTTTGGTTTGTAACCTGTCGATAGATTTTAATCTAACTATGCCGTTCGGATTCTTGGGATTCACAGGAGGTTTAGATCGAGATCTATCTTTTGTGGGAGGTTTCGTTTTTGAATCTGGTATTGAAACTTTTTTTTTTGTGCTATTCAGAGAGGTCCGCCTATTTGCCCTGAAGTTGGAACCGCTAATGGAAGAACTTTCACTGCCGTTTTCACTCGTAACATCTTCGTGCCTTCTATAATCTTCGAGAAGATTCGAATTTTTTCGTACTAGCAGATTGTAAGCTTCGTCGTAGTTCGAACAACAACTTATTATCGAGGAATCACAGGATTGTGCACAATTGAGATTGTCAAAATCTTGGGAGGTACCACTATTGGAACTAAGATTACGTTGGAACAAACAAGGTTCTAAATTTTCCACTACCTCTACACCACTATCACTACCTTCACATTGCGGAATTTTTTTGACGGTTTCAGGGCAGACTTCTGTTACTTTTTCGATAACAGTTATATTGGATGTGTTGAAACCGTGTATGGTATTGTCAGCTTCGGTTTCTTCTTGACATTCTTCTACGGGCTTGGTGACACCATCCTTTTCACCGGCGGTAGCAGTTTCCTCGGTAATTACGATGGATAACTCTGGTTCCACAGGTGGAGAATCGGCTTCCATGTTCATCTAATCATTCCTTTTCAATCTGCAATGAAAGAGAACAAATCGTTAATTAAATATCCATATAATTGAGTGTTACAATGGAGCCACGTTAACGGATGTGGAAGTACAAAAGTTGACCTCCGCGGAAGAGCGGTTTAACGGAGGCGGAGTAATAGGTGGATACATAAGGAAAAAATATTTATTATTAACCAATCAATGAATAAAAAAATATCTGCTGGTAATTTATATTAATGATAATCAAATTATCCTTGGTGTTTTTTGGGGTTTTAACCTTGTATATTAACTTATCACTTATACGAATTTGTCAAGAATCAGAGACACCAACAACTTCCTCTTGATCAGTAATAATATATTGCAACCACGTACTTATGATAGTAAACTCATAATTAAATATCTCCTGGATAAATGCTTATGAATATAACCGACAATTTAAAACTTTCTTATCTTTTTAATCATCGCAATAGAACCGAGTCAGATATTTTAATAACCTAGGGATAGTACATCTCAAAAGATCTCTTCAGTCCATCCGCATTTCTAATGAAGATAGCGATACGATTTTTTATATCTATATTTCTAATAATTATTGAGAATGATACCGGTCTTATTTTATATCCGTTTGCAGGAAGCTTGTTGGACAAATACAATTAATAAATTCCAAAGTTTAATGTAACATTTGAATATGTTAAAATATGGTTTGTGAAGGCAAGGAATGTATTAATTGAGTATGCTTCTCGAAGTACAATGCCCTCTTCTGCATATTCGTCTTGGTAATGAAGAATGGTTTTAAATGTATAAGGTGTTCCTACAGAAGTGGTTGTTATTATTTATTGAAAATTCAAATGTTCCCTCTTAAAGATTGTACTGGGTATGAGTAATATGTTAATTATGCAGTAATATTTATAATTGAATAGCACTGGCCGATACTTGATGAAAATTCATTTTAAAAATCATTAATACAGTTTATTGTATGATTTTCACTATGAAAGGTTTTACAAAAATTGCGGTTTTTATAAATAAACTGTATGTACAATAAACTGTATTAACGAGTTTTAGTAACATTTATTTGTAAAGACTTGGGTAAGAGTCTAATTCTTTTGAGAAATTCAGTCAGCTGTCCGTCTGCACGTCTGTTCCATTATTGTCATGTGACATTTTTCAGAGTCAAATATTTTCTAACACTTTTTCAATGAATGCAGGAGGAAATCGGACAAGTGCTTCACAGAAAATTGTCTGTAACGATTTGAAATATCGACCATTGGAAAAATTGTACTTATTGAACAAAATAGAGGGGGACAAAATAGAAATTAATGATTGAATATTGTTTTGAGAAAAATGAAAATTCACCTCATTTTTTGAACAGAGTTAGTAGAACAAGTTATTTGTTGTGGATTTTAGAAAAATCTTCATACTTAAAAAACAATCGACCATTGGAAAAATTGTACTTATTGAACAAAATAGAAGGGGACAAAATAGAAATTGATGATTAAATATTTTTTTGAGAAAAATGAAAATTCACCTTATTTTTTGAACACAGTAAGTAGTACAAGTTATTTGTTGTGGATTTTAGAAAAATCTTCATATTTAAAAAACAATAATATAATGTTTCCAGGTGTTTTTAAATTCCACAATACAATGCATCGATTACTGGGTTACAGTTGGATTTTAATTATTAAACTGATTTATTACAGGAATTCCAAAAAAAACATAGAAAAAAACAGTTGTACCCATTCTTTGTTTCATTCTGTGATTGAATAATGAAAACCCATTAGCACGTTTCATTAAAAATCGATCTGTGATTCATTAGACATGATGACCGTACCGTGAAATTTTCCTAAAATTAAATTTTCCCTTTTAATGTGATACCAAACACCTTGAGAATTGTCAGTCATGTTTCATTTATATTCAATGTCTACTCCTTTGACCAACTTTATTTCTCACTATGAACTTGATACCTGATAAAAATGAAGTGAGATGCAAACTGTATAGGATATAGCTAGAAGAAACAATAACAATTGAATGGGCAAGTGTGTCATTGCTGTCGAGATCCGGTAACTTTATCTCCACATAATTTTATATATTGTTATTTTCATAAAATACCCGATGATAAATGATGTATGCAATTCATCTACAAGGCGCCTGGTTGTGTAAAATAAGCAGGAACAGACATTAAAGTATTATCAAAAAAACTTATCAACATAATAAATCGAATGATCTCATCCTATAATATAATCTCTACGTTGTTTTTGATGACGCGACCTTGACGAGAAGTTCATAAAGATAATCAATATAAAATTACCTGAACAAATTTGTAAACCGAAGTTAAATTTTATTTATCGAATTTCTGAAGGTCTGAAAAGCTAATTTAGAATAGAACATTCTAAATCAGGACCGTTTTTTTTTATAAAATAGTTTACTGAGTTGAGTTTCATTACTAGAAAATATAAATCGATTGTTTCATTGCGACGTTCAATACCATCGATCATTCAAATAACTTTTCCCGGAAAATTGCGGCAAATATGATGTTTTGGTGATAGTTTCCACACCAAGAATAGAATGTACATTGCGATCAATAAAATGATTGATAAATATATTATACAGAGTGTCAATTTGAAAACTTCTCACCCTTAATATCTTCCATCCAGTAAATAATTTGAGGAATCGAAAAGACAGGTTAATTTTATAGTCAACGGGGACTCTATCAATAAATATTTGTAGCCCCCCAAAGAGGGGTACTTGTTACCCTTAGAATCTTAAATGGAAAGGGTTGTCAAATGAAACATCATTTTGATTGGCGTTCAATTCTGATTCCAATGATACCCTGCTGTTTTATTTTTCAACGAGCAGTTTTTGAGAAATAGAGTTCTAAACTTACACATGTAATTAGAATTTGCCTGTTCTGAGATGCATTATTGTATTGACTCCTTTTAATAAAAATGGTTAAAAGAGTAGGTGTTCCAACCCTTGAATGACAGGGATAAATGTATTACGCCTGAGATTTTTTATATGTTAGTTATTGTCCTTTTACAAACTTGCGAGAAGAGATTTCAAACATAAAATCTGCTTAAGCTTATCTTATAAACTGTTCGAAATGTCGTCCATTTTGGTCTAAACAGTAATAAAGTCTGTTTTCAGACTTACGGAAAACTTCACTAGGAATTGAATGACATGCTGCTGTAATTCGCCCTTCAAGTTCTTCAATATCAGAAGGTTGTGTTTTATAAACAACGGATTTAATATGCCCCCAAAGAAAGAAATCTGAGGATGTTAAATCCGGTGATTTCAGAGGCCATTCAACTGATCCCCTTCTGCCAATACATCTATCCGAAAGTCTCTCGTTTAACCACTGTCGGACGGAAAGGAAATAATGAGCACCGTCCTGCTGAGGCGTCCTGCTGAAAATGTAACAGATCCTCCTGCAAATGTTCATTACTTTCTGAATCCATTTGAGTGTTTAGCTCGTGAGTTATGAGAGGATCGATAGTCTCTTCAAGCATTTCGAGCCAGTCAAGTTTTCTCCCAGACATAATGAACCATTAATGGCATTTCCAAGAAAAACAGCCCAAACATTAATTTTTTGTGAGTGTTGTGTATGCCCTTTCCTAAAAATATGCGAGTTTTCGTCAATCCAATTGCGACATTTTGTCTATTAACATTGCCGTTCAGAAAAAATGAACACTCATCGCTGAAACAGATGTTTAACAGGCGATTAGTGTTGGTATTGACTCGACGAGACATGATTTCGCACAACTCTATTCTTCTATCATAATCATCTTCTTGGAGCTCTTGAAGAATCTGCATTTTATAAGGACGAAATGTATGCATTTTCAATACTTTTTTCACAGTCTCGAGTGATATTTCCGTCTGTTCATACTAATCGTAAGGAGCTCGTGGCCTCAGCAACAAATGTTCCCAAAACTTGAATTTGAGTTGCTTCTTTTATAACCCTGGGGTTATTTCTTTAACTATTTGTCACTGAACCAGTTTCGTAAAACTTATTCACGAAATCAAGCACATACCGGTGACTTACATTACAATTTGGATGTCTTTCGTTAGAAAGACATGCTGCCCTTCGTGCGCACTTTCCAACTTGTCCATTATTGAAATCACTTCAATTATGTCCTTTAGACAGAAATATTTTTACACTTTTATACACTTATTGAAGTAATCACTGATCAGCCCAACAGGTTAAACTGTGTTCAAATTTGCGAACCAATTTTTTGCCTGAAACTTTTTTCAGCAAAAGTAGCAAAAAATGACGGCTGTCGATACACTTTCTGAGATGAGAATTAAAAATTCAGCATTCACTACTTAACACAACTTTACTACCATGTACGTTTTATTATTAGACTACTTTTTTATGTAAATTAATTGGAGCTAATGTTACCTCTAATAAATAAAGGGTTGGAACGGTACCACCTAATATTCTTACCAGTTCTGGTCAAACCATGCATTTCAGAATAGGCGTACTTTACTTCTTTTAGTTTCGAACACTATTTTTTCAAAAATGCTCATAAAAAATAATAAGTCAGGGTATCATTCGAAGCAGAATTGAACTTCAATCAAAATGATGTGCCACTTGACCCCTTTTCCCATTTAAAATTCTAAAGGTAACATCTACCCCTTCCAGGGGGTTGAATCACGAGGGCTATAAATAGTTCTTGAAAGTGTCCCATTGACAATAAAATTGACCTGTTTTTTCGATTTCTCATATTGTTTACTCGAAGGGAGATATTAAGGGTGGGAAGTTTTCAAATTGACACCCTGTATATTAATAAATATATAATAGGGGTTCCTAAGCAGCATCGGACTTGCTATTTGTTTAATTTAGGGTAACAGGTTTTTGGCTTGCTACTTCACCATCTTTATACAAAAAATGTGGGAAACTTTCGATGGGAGGAAAAAAGATGTGTAGATCATGTATAAAAGTAACTTTCAGATAAAAACTGGAAAGAAAAGTCCCTTTCAGTTTGTACTCCAAACATAAATTGTGGAATTGATATCATAATAGGAAGGCTATACAATATGATAGAGTTACGATATAAAATTTCACTTATATGGAACACTATCACCTTCAATGGCGGTTTCGGAATGAGACACTTTACCTCATCAGTACTGTTCCGGATAACATTACAATTCATTCATAACATTAAGACTTTATATCACGTAATAGTTAAATCTACTTATGTTTCGATGACGGTATATGCATACGCTTATTTCATTTACTCCCAGTCACTGGAATCTTGTTTACAGTGAAAGGGATACATTTTGAGAAAAAATAGTTTTTGGGAGTATTAGTGTATTTTTACTTGAAATATCTATGTAAAGAAAAATTAGAACGTTTGAATTCAAAATATTGTGCGTTTCTGTGATATGTTAGTGTTAGTTAACGTTGATAGTGATTCAAAAGAGGCAGTCTGAAGTTTTCACTTTCGATATTCATATGTGTTACAGTTCATTTTTACTTTCCGAAGACCCGGTTTGGGTAGAAATTACAAAAAAAAATTAATATGAATTATTTATTATCATTAATTACACTTCATTGTTTCCTGCGCTCATGTAGTTAAGTACGACCCACATAATGGTAAGTATCGTATTGAATTACCACCGGATGCTGTCTATCATCGAATGGAATAATCAACAGACCATTCATAGTCTTATCAAGAAGAAACATGCGAGTTTACATTTCATACAAAATAAAAACGTGAAGTGACAAAGTGTTGATGTTTTATTTGAATTTAATATTCACTATTCGATTAAAGAGTAACAATATGCATTTAAAAAAGTTGAATTGAAAACCCTGAACTTGTTTCTCTTGTGTTTCTAGAGAAAATTTTCGAAGTAGACAATTTGAAAAAAATATTCTACCCCCTACGAGTGATATATGATATCTCGAAAGTCTCAAAAGGGAAGGGGACCAAGTTTCACAATATTTTTAATAGCTTTCAACTTTTTCTACAATGTTATCTTCCTAATTTATTTCATTAGTAAGTATTTACAAAATACAGTTCGTGTCTTTTTTATGCGTACGGTCACATTTTAGGTTTATATAGTTTGTGTTTCCAACAAAGGTTTTGTAATTTTCAATAGTGTTTTAGTCAGGGTGTTCCTTGAACATATGCGAATATTCAAAGGTTTAAATCTACATGAAAAAGTAATAATAAGCTGATAGAAGTTGATAATTTTCATTAAAAAAAATAATTATCAACTTCAACAGTGGTGTGGGATATTCTTGAAGAGAAAATGATACCCCTATGGATTTATCGAATAAAATTTATATTTGAACTACTCGTTCGATTTGAGATACATCGTTTTTGAGTAAAAAAATTATAAACCTTGCATTGTCCAAGAAATTATTGAGAAATTTTGTATTGAATTCGATCTTAGTTCAGTTCTTGAATTATTCAAGAGTTAGGCAATTACACTGTTGAGTTGGAGAATTATTCTTGTATCGAAAACTGTGTCACTACCTAACTAATTCAAAAACTGAAATAAGATATAATTCAATACAATAACATTTTTAATAGTTTCTCGGACAATATAAGGGTGTTTCACTTTTTCCTCAAAAATACATATCGTAGGAGAAACACAAAGGTAGTATTTTATTCCAAATTGAAGGGAAAGTTCAAAATAACTTTTATTTGAGAAAAATATCGAAATTAATTTCTGTACCCGCGTCACTGTTGAAAATAATTTTTTCATTGAAAAATGTGAACTTCTATCAACTGTCACTGCTCACCAAATATTAGTGGAATTGGCGGCGGTGGTAGTGCGCCCGACTCACGATCGGAAGGTCGTGGGTTCGATTCCTGCCTCGACCAGATATTTTTCTCGATAGAATTTGTCTGGTTGAAGCTGGGATGATTCTGCAACCGTGTTAGGAATCACACGTTAGAAGGTAAGACCTCGTTAGTCCTTAGCTCGCACAAGTTTCTCAACTTCTGAGAGTTGTTCGTATGGGGGCGACAGCTGATTAACGGAAAGACAGATTTTAATACAGATTTTATCCCAAATGGTTTCGGAATTATCAAATAATTACCATTTTTCTTAAAAGTTTAAAATCGTATTTTTGCAACGGAACATTTGTAGATCATTGTTTATATAGCAACCTATCATTATTTTTGCATATAGATTCACACCCTCAAATATTCGCATACCATTGAGGAACCTGTAGATCTTGTTCAAAATTACTGGTTACTATTTTTGTTCAAACGTATCAGTATTTTTTACATAATTTTAAGATGTTCGGGAAATACGTGACATGACAATAATTCCAGCCCATCCTGATAAATTACCCTCTCTCAAAAAGGCATTTTTGGGGATAGGACCAAGGACCAAGTGAAAATTAAATTCAGTTCGCATCCGAGAGTACTAATAACCAAGACTTACCGCGTACCACAAAATACAGTTCATCGTTTGCAAGTACCGTAGAAACATCTTGTTGCAAGACGTACCGTCTTACCAGATACCGTTAACAATACCAATGTCGTCTAAGTTTTTCACCGCACTTTTTTTTGTTTTTTATACATTAAGGCTCCTACTATAATCTCATAGTAAATAAAATATTGATTAAGGTTGAATTTGACCATTGGGATGGGTTATGTTGGCTTTGAGAACCACTGTAGTTTGTGGCTTATTCGCATACACCTGCGACTCAAGGAAACCCTACAAGAAAAACTCTAACGGGGTCAAATCGCATGATTTCGGTGGCCAGTTCACATCACCTCCACGTGATATGACCATGCTCTCAAATCGCTCGTGCAGAATATTCAATGCGGCATAGCTGTGCGTCACGTAGCGCCGTACTGTTAAAACCACATGTCGTTGCGCAGATCATCCAATTCAGGCCAAAAGAAGTCGCTAGTTATCGACCTATTATAGTGCTATAGATTTTTTCGAAATGCACTGGACGCTCTTGGATCTCATGTGGATTGGTATCATCCCAAATTCGAAAATTTTCTTTGTTCACGTACCCATTCATCCAGAAATAGGCCTCATCGCTGAAGATGATTTTTCGATGAAAATTAGGGTCAGTTGCCAACTGTTCCAGAGCCCATTCAGCGAACACACGTCGTTGTCTATGGTCGTTTACCTTCAGTTCCTGGATCAGTTGAATTTTGTACAGGTGCAGGCCCAAGTCAGGACGCAAAATTCGCCCGATTTGTGGTCTGCGAAAGACCGAGTTCTTGTGAGCTACGCGAAATTGGCTGCATCGGACAGACAGCAGCGACATTTTGCGACAGATCTTGCGTTTCTTCGACGAACGGGTGTTAATCAGTCGTCTACTGAACCGACTGACTTGAATTTATCCACCATATTGCGAAAAGTCCTCGCAGTAGGACGATTATGGAGACCGTAAAATGGGCGAAGCGCGCGTTACGTTGCCCGAACGGAACACCCATTTTGATAAAACAATTTCATTATTTGCATGTGTTGTCGAATGCTATATCTGTCCATGATGATTTGGTAAAACAGGCTGAATAAATGACAAACAATTTGACAGATGTAGCTTCACCAAGATGACTGTTATCCATTGTCAAGGTTCGGAAGTCCCTGTTGGAAGACCCGTTATGTTTGTTTCTGTTGCTCATGATGATATTTGTTCCTTACTACGAAATTTCATTTTTTGATCTATCTGGAACTTGGTTACACTCAGGATTTAATGATGATTTTTTGAATTTTGACGGGTATAATCTCGTCAGAAATTAAAGAGCCAATAAACGAGGAGAAGGGGTAGGCTATTTTATAAAAATTGTTTCGATTATAAAATCACAACTCCGGAAAGTGAGTCCCTCATAGAACATCTTTGGATATAATTTGAAAGTGCAAAATGCAAATTTTTTGTGACAATATGTTATAGATCTTCCAAGAAGATATTTCATGAACATCTACCCCAAAAAGGAAGATTCAATATTGATTACGTCAATATTCAATGGCATCTAACTGATTATCATCACATTTTTCAATTTTAAACAAAATATTTCTGAACCATCGCACATCACCAATACGTCAATGACTTGGCTTGATCATCTTTATACTAATTTCGAAGTAAAAGACAGTAGAGCGATTGATCAATCGCTTCAATGCTGAACTCAAAAATATGGTTCAGAATAATATATATCTGCTCAATAAC